TTTTTTCAATAGGAGTTCATCTCAGGTCCTAGCAAAGTATCGGACAATGCCCCTTACGAACATAGTTGATCCTGTTTAGCTGTCCCAACACCTCCTTTAACTCTTTCTCTCCGTAATTATTTACCACATTCTGGTGGAATCAACGTTGGTATCGTCAGTTAGGAGACAAAGGGTTAATTTGGGCGTTTTAGAAACTTCCTGACTCCTAGTCCTATGCTACAAGGGTCCAAACTATCGTACCATTTTGACTTGTTCCATTCACAAATCCTTCCTTTTGCCTCTCTCGTGGGAGTGCCGGTTCTTCTGATGGTTCAGCAGGCGTTCCTAGCCTCGCCAAACTCGGCTCTCTCGTTTCCTTTGAGTCCACATCGGGGTGGAATTTTTTGCATCACCATACGTACCTCGCGTTTTTCTTTCTAGGCTAAACAAGTTGGGCTAGTAACGAACAGGATGCGAGTATGCAAAACCGTGCTTAATAAGCGTCGTGGGATTTAGAAAGTACGTTTCCGGAGACAACGGAATTTAATTAAGCCGACCCACAGATGACGGGCTTTAGGGCCCTGAGAATAATGGTCATTGACGACCTCTCCAAATGCAAACATGCAAAAAAAGATACAAAGTGAGTTAATAAACGTTGATTAACTCTTTCTCTCCGTAATTATTTACCACATTCTGGTTTAATCAACGCTGGTATCATCAGTTAGGAGAGAAAGTGTTAAAAAATAATAGACAATAAAAACATTAACGCTGAAATCAGCGAAACAAAGCAGAAAGAGAAAATTGTATTATAATTACTGTTATCTTCTTTCTCAAGTCATAGTGCACTTCTATTAGTAATACTGTTGTTTTGTTTTTTTCATCTCTAGTTACTGCTAACACTAGCAAATGTGACATTTTAAATGCACTTCAAGCGTGTAAGTCTAATACAACCTGCACTATCAACAGTGATGGTCAAGCGACTTGCAAGTAAGTGCACTTGGAGCAAAATTATGCAAATGTCAAGGGTTGATAAACCTCGTTTTCGATTCGACCAGAAATCTTAGTTTTCTGCAGCTAAATAAAAAGTAAAATGTAGATAAGTTATTAGACGGGAAGGTGGGTTGAGTGGTAGAGCGCTTGTCATCCGAACTGGGGGTTCTTGGGTTCGAATTCCTGTGAAGATTTGGAATTTCGGGACTTTTTGCGCCCCCCCCCCCAAGTCTACCCATCTCTAGTGGGCACCTGACACAAATTGAGGAAACGTAGAGGCTGTTGGTCGTTGTGCTGGCCACATGATATCCTCAACTGTCGGCCACAGAAACAATGGCCTTTACATCATCTGCACCCATAGATCGCCAAATCTAACATTAAGAAAAAATAACGCTCTATAATTCGTATAAAAAGGTATTGTCTTTTTTTAAAAAAAGTATTTTTGAATGCTTTTCTTTTTTATTTAAATCACTTTACTTTTCTTTCACAGCGAAGATTCGTCTGATGGTAATTATTTGTTCTGCCATGTTCATATTGTGTAATAGTTATGGATTACCGAGAACATTTTAAAACTACAAAGTGAAATTATGGTTTTCAATAAATGATTAAATTTGTAAAAGCAGACACTTATTAATTATTATATACACGATCTTCTGAAGATTATTTCATTTTAGAACAAAGTATATTATAAGCTATTTATTTATGTATCTTGTTTTTGCCATAATAAATGAATTGTTATGACTTTTTGCTTCTGTAACTTAGCAGTGAACGTGCCCCTGATTATTGGCCTTTGTGTGGGTATGCCCCTTGCTCTTCTGTGTATTGTGGTTTTGGTACTGCTCATTGAATACAGAAAGAAATATCTGGAACAAAGGAGGTAGGCAGAGTGTTTACACTAATGTAGATCAGTGGTTCCCAAACTTTTTTTGTCTTGTGAGTCCCTTGGAACTCTTCGTAGACCCCTGGGGGTCTATATAGACCACTTTGGGAATCACTAATGTAGATCCTACTTTATCAATGACACTGTATGCTTTAATGAAATACGAATCAAATGTGATACAGGCAATATAGTCAGCGGGGAAGACATACTTATGCGATTATTTATTGATATGTTTATTATATGTCAAATCTAGATCTAACACTAGACCTTAAGTTATGAGCTAGCCTGGAAAACCAGTGACTTAGCAGAATTTAGGTCATTGATTGATATGCATGACTAAATGCATGACGCGTAGGATGGTCTACTAGGACGTAATCATCTTCGTTTTTGAAGAAGCGTTGTATTATATAAGATAATAGATAAGATGTAGAGCTCTTGAAGATCTAGTCTAGATATGCTTCTAGATCTAGGATGTAGATGCTATCTATATTAGATTCACGTAAAAATACAAGCAACGCTTATGTAAAATTGAAGCAACTATAAATTTACTGTTATCACATAATTATGGTATACAGCTGACTACACCATGTCGGCTTTAGACCTAGATAGATTTGTAACTATGTAGCCCACATTTAGTTTTTACTTTGAAAATTTATAACGGTCTAACTAGACTTCTCCACATGTGGCCAAGGAGCGATAAACATCAGCGATAAACATCAACTGTTAAATTTCTAGGAATATCATTAGAGCTGTATTCGAGATCAGCGTCCACCCGAAGGAGTGACTTGACTGGAGCTATTGTAAAAAATAATTTAAAAACCTTGCCTACATTTGGTGAAATCGAATCTATTTTTTAAAAGGCTCTGCTCGATTTAGAAATTTAAGCTCCAGCTTATATGATGGGAGGCCAACATGTTTTTCCACTGCGCTATTCAAGTTATTATAAAAATAGAAGGTTTATTACTCCATTGTTAGTTTAAAATTTGACAAACAGACAGTGAGATGATATAATCTTCATAAAAAACATAATCTAATAATACCAAAATACCAAAAAAACAGACAGTGAGATGATATAATCTTCATAAAAAACATAATATAATAATACCATAATACCAAAAAAAAAAAAAAGAAATATACCCAATTTACTGATAGGGTTTCAACTGCTTTTACATACAATACAGGCATATCAGTATCATATGTTTAATGAATTATTATTCATAAATAATTGTTTTTTGTTTTTTTTCACTTAAAAAAGGGTTTTAAACAAACTGTTTTTTATTTAAAGGATCAATGCAAGAGAATCGGACTACACTGATCGACCTTCAACTCCAAAAGATGGCTTCAGTGGTTCAAGGCCTTCATCAGGGAAACATTTATTACCGATGTCTAAAGAAAAACTGCTGAATTAACAAATTGTGTGCGAGAGTATTTGTTGACCTTATTTAAAAAAAATATAAACAGGTTTTATTTTATTATACAAACCAAAACAATATACATATTATCCTTCTATAAACGCCTTAAGCATGCTCAGTCACATTGGTATAATTAAAGAAATTTTCAAAGTTGATTATTTTAATAGATTATAGATTGTAGACCTACATAAGTATATCCAAAAATTTTTTTTACACTTTTGTCTAATTAATCTTATCTAATTGAGGCAATCTAGGAAAATCATGCAAATAAGCAATACTAAAAAATAAATAGCAAAATTACACTATGTAAGTAAAATAATAACATTACAACCCTACACCGACATGCACACAAAAAAGTACCAAATCTTGTAGCATATTTTATAGTAAAAAAAAAAAGGATCTTTTTTGACATACAAAGGTTTATTATTATGCATAAGGCCTTTCACCATAATTTTATAAGTCTTGCCTTTGCTTCGAAACGCTGGTTATCGACATACATATACTGTCCATATTAAAAATGGAGCGGCGTGCTTAATTTCGCATAATTTCTGGTAACTCCTCTATTGTTATAATCTTAACCTTAATCATCCTGCCTCTCAACACAGAAGCACTGGATTCATTTTTTATAGAAGAATTACATTTTCTTTTTCAAATTGTATTTATTTCTTGACAATAAGATAAGTAAACGGGGAAGGTAATTTTTGATTCGTAAAACTTCGCACAATCATTTTTGACTTACAAAGAACATGGGATTGTGGTCATAGAAGGAAATATCTTTTTCATTTCATAAATATGGAAAATTGCTCATGATTATTAAGAATTAAAAAACATACGTTCCAGCTTCTTAAATGATAGGCCTTATAGTGTTACGAGTGGGCTTAGAACGAAAGATGCCTGTTAGGAAAAAAATCATATTCCAAACAGTATATAACAGTATAACAGTATACAGTGATGCTACTATTTTCCCTGTAAGTTACACGTATGTTGAACAACGTATGTCTCTGTATGTATCTATGCAGTAATTAGTACGAGTTTAAATACTTGTCATTTCTTTCTTAATGTTGATGACACGAGTCACGGCACGCCACTGCATATTGACTACTGGGGTTGTAATTGTTTGCATGCGAGATCCCATAGACCAGAAATGGTCTAGTGGTTGGCTCGCTTAATACTGCGTTATTGTTACCAGGTCCACTGGCTAGCTACCATCCCTTTATTCTTCGTTATATTTCGCTAGATTGTTATACAAAACTTGGTATCTAGTGCTGCCTTTGTATAAGTAATATGTATGTATAATAATATGTGGTTTTTATAGTTTGTATTGTATCATTGCCTGAGACATGTTTTATCGAACAGACGAATATTTTGTTTGTATTATAAATATTGTTATTCGCAATGCGCTGCACCAAAGGGCAGGTGATGTTAAGGTCATCTGCATTCTTTGGCCAACATTTAACGTGCAGGGGGTCATGTGGCCATAGAACGCCCAACCGCCTTTACTTTCCCCAGCTAAAGTCAAGTACCTATTAGAGCTGGGTGGGCTACTTAAAAATCCGAAAATTCAGAATCCCAATCTTTACCGAGATTCGAACCCAGGAACACAGGTTGGTATCCAAGAGCTTAACCACTTAGCCATCGTCCACCCAAAATGACATATCTAATGTATACATGTTTTCAATATCTTTTCAACCAAGGCAAGATATATAAATATATATATATATATATATATATATATAAAAATATATATATATATATATATATATTATATATATATTATATATATATTTATATCTATGACTGCAGGTTACCAACCATAAGAGTCACATATTTATATGAGTCTATCTTAGACTAGTCTATCTATTGTCCAACTTTTAAAATTTCCATTCCAATCTATTTTTAGCCATTGATTAATCCGTCCATCCGATACTTGTATTTTATACTTGATTTTTATTAAGCCTGTTTATTTTTCTTTGATATTTCGTTCTGGCTTGTATTTAAAAGGACTCACTTTTCCTGGAGTATTTTTTATTTTATTAAGTATTCAGTGTAATTTAAGCATTGTAATGGAATGCGATCACGAGTATAAGGTGTACAATACTACTTGCTTTGGGTTAAATGGATGTTAGTCGAACTAAATGCATTTTCATATACTTACCTGGCACAGGTAAAACATCGACCTGTGAGCGTAGGTATGATACTTTTCATAATCCATAAAAATGGCTACCATACATTTTGTTCTCTACTAGTTATGTATGGTAGCCATATCTATAGCCTTTTTGAAATTATCATTTATTTATTTATAATTAAAAATATTTCCAGCATGTACAAAGTTAGGTTCCATTTTAAATAAAACCTGGCATTCATTAGTTTTTTAGAGCAACAAAAATCACGGTATAAGATGCATAAATAAGGAAATTTCATTAAAGACCCCCCCCCCCCCCAGTTTTTTTTTTTGTTATAGTATTATTCGTGTTATCCGCCAGCTTATTATTATTGTATACCTGGATGTATTATTTGGTTAGTTTTTCTTATTCCTCATGTGTTATTTCTTATTAAACCAGAAAGAAACTAGCACTGTCTTTGACCTGACCGTTAATATACAAGAAAGAAAGAAGTCTATGTAACAAAGTCACTTATACCGTTTACTGTAATGCCCAAAATAATCTTACTTTACCATTTTTTTAAAAACGATTGCTGTGATACTTTTACCTAATTTTTTATTATGTCATCATGTAACAGACAATCATGTAACAATTGTTATTTTATAAATAGTATTTTTTATTGTATAATTTAAGTATTATTTATTTACATGAGATTTGGAAAACAAATTTATTTGAGTTATTTATTGACTGAATTGTGTATATATACTTAATTGGATGAAAACAATGTGATACTATTTATAGAATTATAAACAAATAATAAAGCTATCTCGATTATTAGATCTATTGTGAGTTCTCTATGGCTTAAAAGGCAAAATAAAGGTTATTGCAATTAAAAAGATTAAGAAATATTACTAAATGTTAAAGAGAGATACGGAGACAGAGACACAGAAAGAAATAGAGAGAGAGAGAGAGAGAGAGAGAGAAAGATCTTCATTACATTTTTTATTCTAACGTCTGTAATTAATAAACTAAGGAATATTTCCAGCATAATGAATGATTAACGGTGACGACTCTTATCTCTCTCTCTTTCTCTGTCTCATGTTTTCTGTGTGTTAAATTTAGAACATGTTCCCTAACTATGAATAAAAAAATTGATTTGTGAACAGAAACATTTGCGCATGCGTACTGTGGTTGAGGCCTAAATAGCCTTTAATTAAAAAAAAAAAGTTAACATTTCGACTAGCCTGTTTCAGTCGTTGCCTCAAAAAGGGGGATAATTAAATATGGTGATAACTAAATACCTCGACGATGTTTGCAAAGTGTCTTGCATGTTTCGGGTGTTCCTTCAGAGTTAAAACAGTAACACAGACTAAAAACGCAAAATACCTAGGTGTTATAATATATGAAAAACTGTCATGGAATCCCAATACTGATGAAACTATAAAAAAAAATAAAACAGAGCATTAGGGTTTATCAAAAGAAATTTCTATAAATCAAATAAGAACATTAAACTAAATTGTTATTTAACGTTGGTTAGGCCAATAATAGAATGTGCATCCTCTGTTTGGGTAAAGAAAAAAAGAATACATTAAGAAACTAGTACAGACACCAAATAGAGCAGTGAGACTCATAACACACTAATATTCCTATTTTATTAGAGATGCTCTTATTATAAAATCACTCAATTTAAATTTAAGAAGCCTTCAGGAGAGAAGACTTAATAGGTAGAAATTATATATGAAGCACTGAGCCATAATCTTCAAATTCAAAAACGAAACCTCATAAAATGCTCAGAAAGACACAAAGATAAAGGCACATTCCGCGTTCCATATGCTAGGATAAGTTTGTACAAATACTCCTTCTGCCCTAGTGCTATTAGAGCATGGAATGGGTTGCCTGAGCTAGCTAGGAATACCAATGACCTAACAGAATTTAAGTCATTGGCTAACATGCATGACTAGATTGACCTAGGTCCTAGTAAAACGCGTACGACGTTATCATCTTTCTTTTTGAATAAAAAAAAAAGATAATCTTGTTAAAAGTACGCAATAAGCCAATAAATCAAACGAAGACTTTTCGTTCTGGCTAGAGAAAGTTAAACCAATCCAACCCACTGTAACCGAGTACCACATGATTTGCATAATTCCTGGAACTGAATAGTCAGAGAAAAGGAATTCTCAAGAAGCCGTTCGTGTGCTTATTCGTAGAACGCTTGAATACAACTCTAATTTATTTGCACTATTATGGCTTTTGTAGCTAAGAGACTATACCAGCGATTCTTTAACCACAGGGCACTCCCCTAATGGGGTGGGCATTTTTTGTGTGTGTAATGGCGAAAACGTTTGTTGCATTCGTTTTGACGTTATATATTCATATTCATAAAGCGATCTTCAAAATCAACATTAACAGTTGGGAAAAAATGACACTGGATAGAACCACAAGGAGAACGAGAGTAAAGGAAAGGTCACGGATTACAGATGCCATACACAACAGTAGTAGAAAGAAGGGTGAAAATGCAACGGCGCCTGCTGATTACAGATGCCCAACCTGTGACCGCAAGGATATGCCTCTTTAGTCACACAAGAAGTTGTAAAGGGAAAAGATTGTCTCCCTCGAGACGCAAATGCCACAGAGGCATCTCATGGTTACTGTGGCTAAAAGACTATACCAGCGATTATTAAACCAAGGTTTTTTTTTTAACGGTTAACACTTTAGCTGCATTCACTTTGACATTACATATTCATTTCTGTAAAAATGATCCTGTAACTAGAGCATTATTATCACTGCTTATCACCTTATTTACGACTGCTTTTTATTGCAGAAGACGGGATTCTACCCTACAGTTAATTTGCAGACGATTGCATAATATATAGAACGGTTTATAAGAAAACCCACAAGATACAGATATTTTAATAAGAATAAGATGAATTACACAAATGAGAATTGAATTGGAATATTTTCTTTTCACCCTGAAAAATGTCAGTTATTAAGAGTAACAAAATGAAAAACTAAAACAAACAAATACCATTGGCTCTAAGTGAACACCAATTTCAGTAAACTCAGGTGTACATCAAGGAACAGTCTTAAATCAACTACTATAGATTAGAGACAGGGTTGCTAAACCAATTGGACACCAAGATAACCTGCTAACTTCTGGAAAAAAAATCGCTAACTAAAGCTCTATGGGATTCTACCCAAAGTTTTCACATCAGTGTCGGGGCATTGTTTGGCGTCCCTTTAGGGTTCGAATAAATACTTTTGGCTTAGCAAAACGATCGCGCTCATTACAAACGCTCGTGCGCTAAATGAGCTCAAATCTCTTTCACACTTCAGCATCGGCTTTTCTTGAATCTTTCTTTATTAGACGTTATTCGAATAGCACTTTTCCTTCTATGGTGAAACGTCGTTATAGACACCAGCTGAATGCATTTCCGCAGGACCGTAAATAAGAAAATTCATGGAAGAATTGTTGGCTTTGTTGTTAGAGCTTATAGCAGTGGTCTTCAACCTTTTTTGGCCTACCGCTCCCCTTTTCGTATTTTTTTCTTTTAAAAAATCCGCCAGCGCCCCCTTCTAAGAAATAAACACTTATAAAGAAACGTGAGAATGCAAATTTGAACAAAAAAAGTATTTATTAACTTTTATGATGTCAATAACACTTATCCCTTTGCTAGTTTCTGTGATATAAACTGGACGGACAGACAGACGGACGCACGGGCAGACTAAACAAAAACTAACAGAATTATCACAGTGAAAGTACGGGTCTATTAAAAGTTTGAGTTGAGGGAGGATCTTTTGTTTCATACAGTACGAGTAGATTAGGGCTCTTTGATCCCATTGGGCTATAAACTAGAGACCGCATCACAAACGAAGAGATTAGAGACAGGGTCACTACAGCGATTGGACCCCACGATGACCTGCTAACTATTGTAAAAAAAACAACGCAAAACTAAAACTCTATGGCCAAATTACAAGATCTTCGGGGCTCGCAAAGCCTTTCCTTCACGGAACAGTACCAGAAAAAAGAAGAAGAGGCAAGACAGAGAAAGTGATTGGAAGACAACAGAATGGACAGGCTTGCCATTGAAAGAGGTTTTATCTAAGGCAAAAGATAAAAGGCTAAGGAGAAAGACGGTCGACAAATCTTGTGTGGTGTTCCAACGGTCAAACAAACTTAGGGACAGTAGAAGGTGAATGCGACTTACGACTTATAAATAATGGAAACAATTTTCAGTGTATAAAAGGCGTGTCTCTAGCTAAAGGTCCGATGCAAAGTTTAGATGACGGAAAGAAAGGCTTATGTAAAGAGTAGACTGAATTGAGAAAAGATATGTCCCTTTCTATAGTAAAGTGATATGGAGAAATATGGTGGGGATCACATGGAACATAAAGAAAAACGCTTAAAATGAAAAGGTGAATGCATGAAGAAGATTTAAATCGAATGAAAAAAAAAAAAAATGTCAAGGACGCCATTGTGAAAGATTACTGTTGCCAACTAAAATGTTTACTTTGTGCTGTAAGCGAATATTCTTCTTCTTCGACACCTTGCGATATATAGGTTAGTTAGATGATGTAAAGGTCATCTGTTTGTGTAACACGGTTAACGAGGGTGTCATGTGGGCAGCACAACGACCAACCGATTTTACTTTCCCCCAACTAATGTCAGGTACCCAATTGAAGCTGAGTGGACTCAGGTGCGCCCTAAGGATTCCGAAATAAAAAATCCCAGTCTTCACCAGGATTCGAACCCGGAACCCCTACGTTCGGAAGCCAAGCGCTTTACCACTCAGCCACCGCGCATCCAAATCATTCTGTTTTGAAAAATGCACAAAAATATTATAAGGGTTACTAAAATACTTGGCTTATCAATATCTACGTATTTTGTACACCGGATACACCAAAAAAGGGCGTGCTGTTTATGGATTGGCCGCCATGTGTGATACTCATCAACAAAAAATCAAGCAGACGCCAAGTCACGAGCCTTACTCATAAAAAACAAAAATTTCTAACAAAGACTTTTTCCCGAAACAAAACTAATAGCGCTTAAAGTCTTTGTCAAGAAGAGTAAATGTGTTCGCAGATCGATTTTCATTTAGTAGATTGGTATATTTAGGTATCTTGATGTTACACTAAATTAACTGTTCACCTGTACTGTGAGCAATAGACATTAAGACATAGTTTCATACATACCTTCTAATGTCTGATTTAGAAATAATGAGGTGAAAGACTATTTCAGAGTTAGAAATAAAATATTTGATTTGTAGGGCAGCAGTAAATAAAACTCTCTTTTACCATTGGATAATTTTCAGAATGCCATTTAAATAAATATATGACCTGAA